CGGGAGCATCCTGGGGGAGGCAGGAGACAGACATGGTGGAGCAGAGGATGGGGCAGGGCAGGGGGGGGTGGGGGATGGGGGGAGAGGCGGGAGAGGGACATGGTCGAGGGGGGGATAGGGCAGGCCCGGGGAGCGCGGGGGGGGGGCCGGGCGGGAATGGAGGCACCTGGTGAGGACGAGGCTGGCGCACTCCCTGCCCTCCGGGGGCTGAGCGATCAGCAGGATGTCTGGCAACACCAGGCCAGGCTGGGAGGCGGCCACACCCATGGTCACACGGTTGGTTCTGTGGTGCACGTACACGGGGGCCCCTCGATTGGTCACCTGGGGGGCCAGGGAGAGGGGCTGGGACCACTCCTTTCTCCAATGCTCCTCTGGCACCCCCAGCCCAAGCCCCCTACCACCTGAGCCTCCCCACCCCCGCGGCTGCCTAGTCAGTGCCTGCCTGGGTTCCAACCCCCCAGTCCGGGGGTGGGGTGGGGTCGGGGGGGGGGGGTGGGTGGTGTCTCAATCCCTTCCTGCCCCTCTCCGCCCCCAGGGTGCAGGAAGCTGGGGACCTGGACAAAGTTACTCTCGAACATGGGCAGCGGGCGGAGGGGCAGGTACTCTCCCCTCTGGAGGGTCTTCTGCAGCTCGCCTAGTGTGGGGACCCATTTTGAGGGTCCCTGGAATGGCTCCATGCGCCTGATGTTCTGAAGCCGGTTCATGGCGGCTGCAGAAAAGGTGGGTCACGCCAGACACAGAGTCAGGGACCCGGCACCTGGGCGCTTGGCCTGCCCAGTGTCCCCCAGCCCACCCGCCCTGGCCCTTTAGGCTTGGCAGGTGCCACAGCTCAGGGGTCCCAGAGGGTGGGGCTTCCCCAGGGCTTGGCCATGGCCCTGCGGTGGAGGGTGGTCAGCCCTGGCTTGGGGGAGGAGCCTTGGGGGGGGGGCCTTTGTGACCTCATCAGACACTTGTAGGACTCTTTCTGGGAACTCTCTGGGGGGGGGGGGCGTGGACTCCCTTCTCCTCCTGGGATGTGGCCTAGAGTCTCGAGGGCTGGAGTCTGTGAATCAGAAGCCCCGACTGCAGACCCAAAGCTACTGAAAATTCGGGGCCCCCGGCAGGATCTGTCTTGGACATTATAAATGGATAATTAACCAAAGAGTTTCCCACTTAAGAAGGGAGGCCCGAGCATGGCCCCAACTCACCACTGACCCCTTTCAGAGACCTTGAGGAAGACTCATACCCCCCACTGAGCCTCAGTTTCCCCATATATAACCGATTTGTGTCTGTGGCAGTGATTGCTGAACAGATTGCTGAACATTGGTTATAAAGAAAGGGGCACGGGCTTTGGAAGGAGCTGGACCTCTGGCAGAAACACAGTGGTCCCTTTCAAGGTGTGACCTTGAACACCATGTCCCCTCCCCCGCCAGCCTCACTTTCTCTCACCTGGAAAGTGGGGCATGATGGAGCATTCAGGGGATCATGTAAGTAAAACCCCACACTTAAGACACGGCCCAGAGCACACACTCAGTGAGCAGTCATTCCTGACTCCTTCTGAGGTCTTATTTTGGGGGAAGGGGTTGGCTGGCATTC